AGTGAACGACTCAACCAAAATAGACAAAGTCACAATAAACTCCTCCAAAAGCGACGCATTGATCTTTAACACCAAAAGAGGAAGGGAGCCACAGGAATGGAAAATTGGAAACGAAACAATAGCAGAAGTCCAGGAAACAACTCATATTGGGATAGTGAGAAATGCCAACAAGAAAAATGATATCGAAAGCAGAATAGAGAAAGGACGACGTACAATGTATGCCTTACTAGGAGCTGGCTTACACGGGAAAAATGGTATCAATCCTGTAGTAACGAATAAAATATTTACAACATTTAGCAGGCCCAGAATAACATATGGACTTGAAGTAGTAAAATTACAGCAGAAAGAACTCAACGCTTTGGAAATCTACGAGCGGAAACTACTGAAACAGATCCAAGGGCTCCCTGACAGATGCGCTAACGTTGCAGTGTATGCTTTACTAGGGACAACTCCAATTACAGTCCATATAGAGCGAAACTCCTTGACCACCTTTTTCAACATTGCTTCACATCCAGAGTTTATAGAACATGAGATTGCCAGACGTCAGTTAGCAATGAAGGATGAAACAAGTAACAGCTGGTTTACACATAAAAGGATCATCCTACAGAAATATAGCCTTCCAACAGCATTCGAAATTATGAACAATCCACCAAGTAAAACCCTATGGAAGAAGCAAATCGATTCAGCTATCAACAAATACTGGGAAGAGTCCTGGAGAGATGAGATTGAACAAAAAATCATTAAAATATCTGAACCTACAAGAACTGGCTACCAAACATCCACACAATATCTGGAAAACAACTCAGAACAACATCAGGGACATCTCAAAAGCCACAATCAAAGCTCGCCTTCTCACAGGTACCTATACTCTCAAAGCTGATGGCAAAAGATTCAATCAACATGCAGTGTCTGAAACCTGCCTTCTTTGTAAAACACACACTGAGGACAGATGCCATTTCATCCTTAAATGCACAGTACTAGAGTCACCACGTTCAAAGCATTTAGCTCTACTAAAGCAGCTTTTGGCTAGGAAAATCAGCACTGACACAGCAGAAGAAATATTTAACGACGAAGAGCTTCTCATGCACTGTATTCTGGACTGCTCAAGAAATACAAATTGACATTATCAGAGACATTGAAGAAATCAGCAGAAATTTAATTTATGAATTGCACAATCTTAGGGCAGTGAACCTTAATAAATTATAATAACAATCTGTGAACTTTATATCGTGTGAGACAATAGTTTAGACAAAGGAACTTTTAGTGATATATTTAATTTTTTTTTTTTTTTTCCGAACACCACCACCAATCTTTTTAATTGGTAACCTTATACCTGTTTACGACAGGGTGCTCCGAAGTCAACGGAGGAATTTACCAGCACAACAACAATAACAACAACAAATGTTTTGACTAGTTTGTGATATCAAGAACTCGGCTGTAATTATTTTTCAGAAATACAGAGATTTCTTTCGTTGAAATCAAATACGTTGTTACATACACGAACGAATCGAACAAGTTGAGATATATAAACACCATAAGATGGCGACAAGGGAACGTCACCATCTAAAAATGGATAATTAACAATAGGAAATGAAAAATCATCTCTTTTATCATAAATTTTGGTATTAAGATTCCCGTTAAATATAAATGCTTGTTTTGGCCCCTAATTCCTAAACGGTTTGGACCATCACCCCCAAAAACAATCCCAACCTTCCTTTTGTGGTATTGGACCTTTTGATTAAATTTCATAGAGACTTATACACTTAAACTAAAGTTATTGTCCGGAATCCAAATGTATGTATTTATTTTCAATTGAAAATTTCACGCAGTTGTGCAATACACTGTGCTGTTGTGCAATACTAAGTAAATCTGTTTTCAGACTATATACAAAGAATTAGTAAAATAAATTGTGACCCTATTTTTTTTCTTTGGAAAATTGACAATTTCTTAAATCTTGAGGAAAAAAAATTGACCCCCTCAACTTTTTTTTTTTTATTTTTAACCCCCCCCCCCCCTTCCCTCTAAAAAAAGATATTTGAAGAGAATTTTCATTTGAGGAAAGAAAATATCCCCAAAATGAATCCCAACCCTTCTACTTGTGGTATTGAACCTTGTGGTACAATTTTAGAGCAATCAAAATACTTATACACAAGTTATTGTCCTGAAACTAGAAAAATGCTTGTTTTGGCCCCTAATTCCTAAACGGTTGGGACCATCACCCCCAAAAACAATCTCAACCTTCCTTTTGGATAAATTTCATAGAGATCCATACACTTAAACTAAAGTTATTGTCCGGAAACCAAATGTCTTCAGACGACGCTGAAGCTGACGCCGCCGACGCCGATGTGATACCAATAGTATAACATGTATAAAAATGAAAAAAAAATTGTTAAATTTGTCGCCAGACAGTTTCGACGTCAAAGAACAATTGATAGAGCTCAACATTTTTACCCAGTTAGATTCTCTCCATTTATAACGGTTTTCAAAATAATAGACCAAACTTGCAGTTTACTCCCATGTTCTATTTTTAGTCATGTCAGCCATCTTGGTTTTGCACTACAGAGTGGAGTGCGGGGGCGTCACTTTGTCTAGTTTAAACAAGATACCCCAATGATGATTGTGGACAAGTTTGGTTAAATTTGGTCCAGTAGCTCCCTTAGTTGTTTATGTCCTTGTCCCTTTGTTGTAGATACTTGTCTCATTGGCAATCATACTGCATGTCCATATTTCTATTCATGTACAAATAATTTAATTTTGGATGTAACGCATCTACTGATTGGCTGACGTTGTTTTGTTTATCAGCTCATAGACATAATTTTGTCATGTGACCGTGACGTCATCAACGTTTTTTCTTGGTTTACTACGGTTTAAAAAGGAATTAAATTATAAGAAATAACTGTAATATTTTTTCTGTCTATTCAAAATAACATAAAAAATGTGGTGCACACTTTAAAATAACCCGCTATGCGGGTTATTCAGTGTGCACCACATTTTTGATGTTATTTCTTCATAGACAGAAAAAACATTACAATCATTCCTTAAACGATTTATTAGTATAGTGGTGAAAAAAAGATGAATGATGGGATGCTGACAGACAGACAAACACTATATTTATGGTAATTCTTTTCAACTTTTATTATAGCAAAGAACAATTGCTCCTTAAAGTGGTAAATGTCAAATTTATCATCAATCACAACAAGTACCGTATGCATATATATTAGATACATGCACATCATAATGAACATGACTGTTTTGTGTACTATATTTCAAGTTGATGTGACCAACTACACAGCAAACTAAAGGAGAATGGGGGATATCCCCCATGAGAGATGTTGACCTGAATTTGAAAATCTTTATTATATAAACTGAACCCCTAAAAACAGGCATTCAAATGAGTTGAAAGGTATTTTAGCACATACATACTCATCCAAACAATATACAAGTTGATTAAAAACACTTATGACAATATTAGCTCCTCTTCGCTTAAAATCCACCATGGAGAATTTGAAAAGTTGGCAGGTATGCATAATTTTTGGTCATGGGGAGTCCAACAATGAGAAGAAGTTTTATTGCTAAATAATTCATCATTTCAGTCTCCATGACATCAAATTTAGATTATTTTTTAAATCTTTGCTATAGAACAATGACACGTGTGCTCAGTTGATGCAATACTTTACAACTTGATGCATCTTTGATCTCACCATTTTTGAAAATGATGAGTCTAGGACTCATGGACTCAGCTGAGAACCCTGAAACTACCTTAATAAATTGCTTCGCCGAGCACAGCTGGATACGACCGCAGAGATCCAACCCTGAACAGTTGGGGCAAAAATGGACACAATATTCACGCTTGATACAGGTCTGAATTTGGATTGTAATTAAATATTTGACACATAATAGGTTTCTGAGACAGAATAACTGTAGTCAAAGAACTTAGAATTGGTTATATGATTTTAATTTATATTCAATTTTTTGCTTTTGTGCAATACACTATGCTGTTGCAAATTGACCCCCCCCCCCCCCCCCCGAAAAAAAAAAAAATATTGAAGAAAGTTTTCTTTTTTAAATTCTGAAATCTAAATGTTGAGAAAAAATTGTCCCCCCTGCCCCCCTCACAATTTCTTTTTTACATCCCCTATTTTTCAAAAAAAAGATATGGTCATAATCTCAATTCAAATTTCCAATGGAGTTTGCAACCATAAATACCCATTTAAATATATCATAAAAGTCTTAAAATAGAAAAGGACATACATAATCATGGCTAAAATTAATATTTCTTAATCAGCATTTTTAAATATTAACTTCTAAAAATAAATTGACAGCTAATCATCTCAAGACAATACAACATTTCTTTATACATAATTTAAAAGCAGTGTAAGGGAGGTAATCTAAACATAACATTGTACTTTTTTTTAATTGTCCATTAACCAGGAAACCCTTGTTTTTCCCCCTTTTTTGCCCCTAATTCCTAAACGGTTTGAGCCATAACCCCCCAAAGCCAATCCTAACCATCCCTTTGTGGTATGGAAACTTGTGGTATAATTTCAGAGAGATCCATACACCGTTTCACAAGTTATTGTCTGGAAACTAGAAAAATGCTTATTTGGGCCCTTTTTTGGCCCCTAATTCTTGAACTGTTAGGACTATAATCCCCAAAATCAATCCCAACCTTCCTTATGTGGTTATAAACCTTGTGTTTAAATTTCATAGATTTCTATTTACATTTACTAAAGTTATTGTCCGGAAACCAAATGTCTTCGGACAACGCTGACGAGATAACAATATACGATTGCAAAATTTTTTGTGGTCGTACAAAATGTCATATTATTATGAACCTACATACTGAGTTTCAAGTTGATGTGACCACAACTTAATAGTAAAGTAACTTAAACCAAGACTTGAACTAGATACAGGACAAACGGACAGACAAACAGGAAAAAATAATGCCCCCTCTTATCAGAGGACAAAAACACTTTATTCATATTAAAACTAAAACAATGTCAATTTTGACCTTTTTATTCATTATTTTATTATAAGATTCCTCTCTTAACATTTTAAATCTGTGAAGATAGTAATTAAACCGTACAAGCTGGATTGTATCAGTTTTATAAAAAGAGTTAATTTTATGATGCTGATAGAAATTACATCAGATTTACTACTACATGTACATTGTACAAGTATTGTCAAGTGTTATCATACTTCATTAAGTACATGGGAATTTCTATTCAGAAATGACTAACTATCAAGTCAGTCTAGATTATTTTGTCTATTTTTTTCAAGTTCAAGAAAGATAACTCTGTCAACTTTCGTCTTCTTCCTTCTGTTTTATGGCAAGATATTCAGAATATTTAATCTTTCTTGGAATAATATCTGAAAAAATAAATAATGAATACAAGGCATTTTGTAACACATTTTAACTTCAATTATTTAATACCTGGATTTATAGACCTTTTTCTCGTTTGCAACTATATTTAATAAAATGCTCCGCTGGGGCGCAGCTTGATACGACCACAGAGGTCGAACCCTGAACAGTTGGGGCAAGTATGGACACAACATTCAAGCTTGATACAGCACTGAATTTGGATTGTAATTAAATATTTGACACAGCATAGGTTTCTGACACAGAATAAATGTGGTCTAAGAACTTAAAATTTTTTAATTTATCTATTCAAAGCATATCATTATTATTTGCTTTTATATATAAATCAGAAATGACCAATTTAAAATGGAAAATTTTAAAGAAAAAAAGGAAAAAAAAATCCCCCCCCAAAAAATTTTTTGAACCCCCTTATGATTCATCACCCCCAAACTCAATCCCAGCCTTCCCTTTGTGGTATGGTACCTTGCAGTACACATACATGTGATGGACTGTGAAACTAAGATCAGGAGTTTTGGAGATTAGGACTCAGATCAGGATGTTTTTAATCGACATAAATTCTGTCGTAAATGTAACCGTGTGCTGTAGAAATTGTCTGTTAAAGTGTGTTTTCTTCAACTTTCCATCCGAATGTATTATGTTTATAGTACCTTTGTACTTATAAATTTTCTCTATCTTTTTAAACTTTCAACTTGTTCAATCTAACATTCTTCTTTTTCAGTATGTTCTTTTAATTTTTTAGGTCATATCTTTTTTATCATTATTCATTGCAATCAGAACATTTGCTTATCTATCTGCAAGTAGATCTTTTATTTTTATCTTTATGCAAGTAGATTTTTAATGCATGATAAGTAACACATTCAAACTGTAATCATGGGTCATAGTTGTTATATAAATTTCAATTTAAGCCTTGAAAGGAAGTATAGAACCCTCAAATAATTTTCAAATTATTATTTTTTTATTTGTCCAAAAACATTTAAAATCATTTAATTACCATCCTTTTATGATTATTTGTTCAATTTTTATTTCATTTATATTCTTTTAAAAATTTACATTATTTAAAGGAAAGTAACTTAAAACAGGATAAATCAAGGGAAGTAACCCAACATTCATTTTAAATAAACAAAGTTTTATTACACAACGGCAGTTAGCCTGAGGTAAAAATCGTTTATTACCAGTATGTTTGACACCCAAGGTGACTAGTGGGGCCATATAATTATGCATGTTAATTGATTTACAGGTAAAATATAACTTCAGTAATGTCAGTTACACCAGATATGTTGGGCTGAAATTTTTCATTCATGAAATATTTCATACACGGGTTTTTTTTGTCTTCAACGAGAAGTCGGGAGGAGACCCCTGAAAACGGGATTATTGTACTCCCGTCGGGAGGTTCACATGTATGAACTGTACAATTTCAGAGAGATCCATACACTTGAACACAAGTTATTGTCTGGAAACAAAAAAAATGCTTGTAAATTTTTGGCCCCAAATTCTAAACATTTAGGGCAATTACCCCCAAACTCAAACCCAGCTTTCCCTTTGTGATATGGAACCTTGCAGTACAATTTCATAAAGATCCATACACTTACACACAAGTTATTGACCTGAAACTAGAAAAATGCTTGCTTTTTTGCCCTTTTATGGCCCTTATTCCTCAAATTTCTAGGGAATTACCCCCAAAATCAATCCCAGCCTTCCCTTTGTGGTTTGGTACCTTGCAGTACAATTTCAGAGAGATCCATACACTTGAACACAAGTTATTGTCTGGAAACTAGAAAAATGCTTATTTTTGGCCCCTTATTCCTAAACGTTGTGGGCAATTACCCCCAAAATCAATTCCAGCTTTCCCTTTTTGATATGGAACCTTGTAGTACAATTTCATAAAGATCCATACACTTACACACAAGTTATTGTCATGAAACTAGAAAAATGCTTGTTTTTTTACCCTTTTTGGCCCCTAATTCCTAAAATTTGGAGGCAATTACCCCCAAAATCAATCCCAGCATTCCCTTTGTGATATGGAACCTTATGGTACAATGTCAGAGAGATCCATACACTTACACACAAGTTATTGTCATGAAACTAGAAAAATGCTTGTTTTTTCCCCTTTTTGGCCCCTAATTCCTAAAATTTGGAGGCAATTACCCCCAAAATCAATCCCAGCATTCCCTTTGTGATATGGAACCTTGTGGTACAATGTCAGAGAGATCCATACACTAACACACAAGTTATGTCTGGAAGTTACAAAAATGCTTATTTTGGGCCCCTTTTTGGCCCCTAATTCCTTAACTGTTGGTACCATAACCCCCAAAATCAATCCCCACCTTCCTTTTGTGGTATTGAACCTTATGGTAAAATTTCATAGAGATCCATTCACTTAAACTGAAGTTAGAGTGCACGACGACGACGACGCCAACGTCATACCAATATACGACTACAAAATTTTTTTGCGGTCGTATAAAAAGCATGTTTGCGTACTTTTTAGACACTTTTTTTTTGTATTGTGGACGACTTTATATTTTGACCTTAAATTATTTTCTTGTTGTTGCATTGCTGTCTTACTGATGTATACCAACATATCTTTTTTAATCTAAGTTTTGCTATATTTGAGTAAAGAACTATGTAACTATTGTCTTTGCATTTCTTTGCAATAATCTTTTAGGAATATGCTGCACCTCCAGCACACTTCAAGAACATCCGTATTAATTACACCGTATGTAAGAATCCTGGGTTTTGATTGGTTGATAGCCAGTGTATTTTTCACCAATTTACTTTTATCAAATGAATATCGTTCATTTTTAAACAGCGCTGGGGTATATGCAAAAAGGATATGCCTTTTTTACCCTCTCTGCCGTGGTATTTGCCAAAAAATACTCTATCCGACTGGACGCTTGTAATGTCACGATCATCAATGCTTTTTATGTCACGATCATCAATGCGTTTTGAACGTTAACATTCGGTGTAATTAAACAGATATAGCATGTTCTTGAGGGGTATTTGCGAAAAATACCAGTCTTGAGAATGAATTTCCCTCGCCTTACGGCTCGCAAAATTTAACATTCTCTTGACTGGTATTTTTCGCAAATACCCCTCCTTAACATGATATATCTGTTCATAGGAACGCTCCCAAGTTGCAATCAAAATGTTTACAACAGGGTAATAACTAAGAAAAGTACATGAGTCCTAACCTTTTAGTCATAAAACTTTACTCGGTACTCTGAGTACAAAATTTGTGCTAAAAAACACCAAATATAGTCTTTTTGGTTGATTTCTTAGTACGAGTACAATAATTGTACTCAAAATGTTTAGGACTAAATTAAATTGAAAAATAAATTGTAACCTCGCTAAATCAGAAATTGCCCCATTGTTTTGTCCAGAAGACTTAAATGATAAGCAGGGTTCTCACTAAGTAGTTTTGAAGGCGAGTCCAGGAACTCATGAATTTTGGCTGTGACCAGTCCAACAGTGAGAAGATGAAACTTTGTTGCTATATAAATCATTATGCCAGATTCCATGACAATAAAGAGCAAGGAAATGACATCAAATTTAGATTATTTTTAAGGTTTTGATATAAAAATGATATATATCTGCTCAGTGGATGCAACATTTTACAATCTTGATGCATCTTAGGACTCACCAGTTGTAGTCAGGACAGATTTTCATGAGTCCAGGACTCATGGAATCACCATAGTGAGAACCCTGGATAAGTTATGGTGTTGAATATATGTTTATTTTGATATTGAAATTTTTTAGAACTATGGAAATTAACGAGTATTTGGACACATTGTACTTAGTTAATGTACTTATTACCTTGTTTTCTTATACAAATTTACAAAAACTAAAAGAAATAAGGACATTGCTTCATGTACATGATATATACCATCTCTTTATTCTTATTCATATTCATTGATATTGAAGGGCTACAATCTGACTGAAATTCATGAAATACAGAACCTGTGTCCATGCTTCCTATACAAAGATCTGATAACAATCTCTTCTACTTTCTGCTTTTAAGAAATTTCAGTATCCTTTATTTTTGTTGTAAGCTTAGGAGCTCTGACAAATTGGAGGCAAAAATTTCATTTTCTGATGTAATACTTACCAGAACAGAGAGTAATTGAATCTAGTTCTCCACACTTGCTCCTCATTTCTGTTCAGTTGTTTGTGTGTCATGCGACATATAAACGACTGAAAGAAAACGAGGAGCAAGTGCAGAGAGCTAATTTTAATAAGATTGAGAATGGACTGTTGTCAGATCATTGTAAGCCAAGTGTTGACACAGGATCTGTGTTTTAATCAGATTGGAAGCATTACAACAGTCAAGGGTGTAACTTAAATAAGTTATTAGAGAAAAATAACATACATGTACATTTGTTATTGTGGGCTAAAAAATCAAAAATCTGTGATAACATATGTATGTTACATGTTTCAAAGGGGCAATATACATCCTTTATTTTGTTAAATTGTATACAAGTTCTTTTGATATTATAATTGTCTTTATGTATACTAAACTTTAGAAAGATATAACAGTCCATAGTTTGCCAATCATGCATAGTACACCCATGTTATTACACGTTACAGAAAATATATGCCTGTAATAACTAAAGGGTGTTATTACAGCTTTTCTACATCTCTTCAAAGCCTTTTCTCAGACACATATCACAATGTATTTTAATTTATTGTAATAAATAATGATCAGAGCATGTAATGAGGTTCTGCAAACTTCCAAGTCATTCCCAAGTGTCTCATATAATAAGTTACATGCCTGTAATAACTAAGCCTTGTTATTACAGCTAAATTTATCACTTACATGACTTAAAAGCCTTGTCTCATTGATTTACCATGGTTGATCAAAAATGTATTAATTGAATGGGAAAATTAGTTTTCAAGGCTTTGTATTAAGTTACTGCGTAAGTTTCAAGAATTCCCACAAGTGTCCACTGAAAATGAAAATTTTTATGATACATTTAACTGATAACAAACATATGTT